AGAGGGCTCGGGCTATGTGGGAGAAACGTCTCATTTGGAATGCACTTCTGGTTTTTTTTCTTATTTTCCTTATTATGTTTTCACTATGTCTCAGGCATGGTTTTAAATGTTTTATATGCATTATCACTTAATTGTCACAATAACCCTATGATCAAGAGGCTATCAACATCTCCTTTACATAGACAAGAAAAATGAAGCTCAGAAAGGTAAAATATCCCCTGAGGTTTCAAGGTTAGTAAGCAGCAGAACCTATATCAGATGCAGGCTGCTGCGACTCCGAAGTCTGTGCTCACAGTCACTATGTTATCTTGCCACCTGCCTTTCTCCCCTTGCCACACAACTCATAGGCTTACCTTCTGCTTCCAGAAAAATCTGATCTCACAGTACTCTCACCAGTAGTCTCCCTAAAAACTCAACTCCCTTTCCTCACATTTTAGTTTGGCTCAGAGCTCCCCTAGATTGCCTGTGGCTCCAGTTTCGTCAACTAGTTCTCCCACCTTGCACCTTGTATTTTATTTACATGAGCAACTTACAGTTTCATAACACAATTTTGTATCATGCCTCCAATACCTCTGTTTTTGTGTTTCATCTTCCTCCACTTGGATTGCCTCCCCTGCCATCTTACCTATTGAGTAAACTGCGACTCAGATGTGGCATATTATGGATTGTCAATAAAAGTTTGAATATTTTTTAAAAAATGAACTGATTAATTAACATGCTTTAAGGAATTCCATAAAAGTTCCTATACTGGATGTTAGGTTAGGTAAGGCAGCTTCTTGATTCCATTTAATACAGCTAGTCTGAGATATCAATGGAAGCCATGTAACAAAAATGATAATAATTATTTTAAAACTAATTCCTAATATATAAATATCATTAACCATGTGCTAAGCCATTTTAAGCACTTTATAATGGATTAATTCCTTTAATCCTCACAACAGTCCTCTGAAGTTATTCCTATTATTTCAATGATATGATAAAAATGAAGGTAGGGTAGGGGCAAGAATGCTTCTTCTTAAGAGAAGCAAGTTGTGCATGACTCTCTAGAAGACTCCAGAAAGAAAAGACTCTTAACACCTGATCCTGCCAGGGATACAGAAAGATCCCAAGACCTATGTACTCTCAGGACTCAGAAACTAAGTTCTGATCTAGCGCTTGAAACAAGCCATTATCTTATGTCCACCCTGGTAACGTGTGTGAGGGAGGCCTATAACTCAGATTCAGTTGTGTGTGTACATGTTGGTGAGTGATCACACACACACAGACACACATATGCATATGCAAGCATGCGTACATGTACATACTCAACACATTCACGATCATATATATATTGCCTTTCTATTATTGCCTCT